AAAGCAATTTTACTTATTAAATTTAGTTTTCAAAGATCATTACGATTTTCACTAAATAATGTAAGGGTTTGATCTGTGTTAAATAAATTCATTCTGTAACGTTCGACGAAAGCTGTTGCTAGTAAAAAAGAGTATTCCATTGAATTAATTTCCAAGGAGAATCGACACACGCGTCGGTGGCGAGAATAGAAAATTCGCATTTTTCAAATACCTTCCGACACGTGACGCGACAACTTCTTCTTTTCTTTCGCCGGTCGAAAGTGCACAACGCACTTTGAAATTTTCATGAATTTACTGTAAGTCTTTGACACGTTTACTGCCGCTTCCGCCGTGAATTGGTCACGCTAAACTATTATTTCAAGAAATACGATTCTATTTTACTTTTATTCCACGATTCTTTATAATAAAAGAGTAAACTCAACTCGCCGAGATTCATGAACATAGAAAAAAGAATTTATTTTATACCGTTGCCCTTAAATCTGTCAGTAAATATGAAAAAAAACGGAGAGTGCTTTATGGGCCAGAGATTTCACTATCAAATTGCCATTTTATTTTATATTTTCCAGTGAATTCCTGGGTCCGAAAGAAAAGTAATTTTAGTTCTCTACTACCGAGGCTATTAAAAATCTCTCCGATGAATAAAGTTAGATTTAATGACAACGTTATTTGAATGATGATTCTCACTGTCTTTATAGTTGACTCCTGCGGTAATCTCTAAGTAGACTGCGCGTTTTATGTAGTTTTTAAATACCAGTTGCTCGTGCGACTTTTTGCACGCGACTTCTTTTCTTTCGCTGGTTGAAAGTGCGACGACCACGAATGTTCCGTGGAATTTTCATGTACTAACTGCGAGTCTTTAACACGTTGACTGTCACGTTAGCTGTGTGTAGGTCACACAATTCTCCGTCCAGATTTAAGGATTAATTTTTATGACGATAGCAGCTAGAATACTCAACATTGCTCGGGTGTATTATTGTATACATCAGTTCCTTTATGAGATTCTATAGAATTATTTCAAGTGACAAGCAACTGAATATTTGGGTATTATTATTGAAGCAAAAATATCTTTGAAGTTAAACATTTGCTTTCCTGCAGATTAATTTTTTTAAAAACTATACGTGTTAAAAATATGTCAATATATTCGCATCGAGAAACGAGAATTCTCAATTTCAAATAGTAAGCGTCGTCATCAATGCGAATGTGTTACGATACTAAATTATATATTACATTATCTATTAATTATAAAAATGGTTATCACAGTTTTAATACATGTATGTTGAAATATTTTTATATTATTAAATAGCTCGTTTTGTAGGAAAGTTTTTGCAAAAATTCTCGATGCGAGTTTGTTAATAAGTATCGTTGTAAATTGCAATGGGATAAAACAAAGGGATATGGTCTGCGTTTCGTATACTTTATTGTAGCACATTTTCTCTGTAAGATTTTGACATTTTACTTATCAACATCCGAAAAATCGGATTTTTTATGCGAACTCTTTTCAATCGGAATTTTTCGAAACTGTTACTTACCGATTGAACTAATATTGTATCAATTGTATTACTATTCACATGTTGGTGATAGTATTATAAGCTGTGTATACTCATCAAGTATTTATTTTGAAATTACTCCCTACTCTAATTAATCAAAATAATACGTCGCTAATATTAACGACGCGTCTTTATTTCAGTAAGCTGGTAGGTAAAGTGTGAAAAAGTAACTACGCAAAATTTTGATATAAAATGGTTAAAAAATTTAGAATTACATAAGGAATATAAATAAAAATATTTTATTTTCTAATTATACAAATCTAATGAGAAGTAAAACAAGAAGTTTAAAAGAAGCATTATATATTTTCTTATTTACTAATTTATTGTATAAAAATATACGCATACATATAACAAATGGAATTAAAAGTATGTATATGTAAAATCTAATGTACAATTCTTCCTGAAAACCTTCTTGAATATTCAATGAATCGGGTTTCATTGGCAAATCATGGTACCGAAGTCTACAAATCAGCAGAATTACGAGCGTCAATACTAGAACAACCGAGGGTTTAACATGATTAATATGTAATCCTTATACAAATTGTAACAATAGAAGTTTTTTCGGTTTCTTCATTTAGTGATTATAGTATTAGAGTAAAAGTATTTATTTTTCAAATTATTTCGGATATTTAACAATTTTAAGATTTCAATAATTGCGAAATGAGAAAACTGAAACCCATTATCTTAACGAGTGTGATAGTTCTATTGTGGCATTAAGTTACCCAAGTAATTTTTTCGTGGATATTAATATTATCACATTAAAAATAGTGAGATATACGTGAGATTATACGTCAAATTCTGAAAATTGTATCACAAAATAACGCAGAATCATATAATAGAATTCAAATTTCAGAGTATATTTCAATTTTTACAACACAACATGCAAATATATAGAGTATTATCGTTACAAGGAATCGAATAATGCAAATTTTGATTTCACAATTATTCATACTCTCTCTTCATAGTTTGTTTTATATTGTTGTAATCGTACCCATAATATTTTGTTATACTTCTCTACGACAACTAGCTTGGTGCGAAGTGAAACTATGTACTTTTCAGATCATTTCAGATATTTAACGCTCTTAAAATTTCAGTAACTGTGAAATAAAAAAAATGAAACCCGTCATTTTGACAAGCGCGGTTGTTCGTGTTAACGTAAGCGATAATTGGCGTGAAATCGTCAAGAATTGTTTTCAGTTTTTCCGAATTTTCCACGGTACAGTGATCTCATCGTTTGAGCTTTTATCGACCGCTTATCGAGATTAGAAACGATCTCGGCACTCGTTCCACGCGTTATACCGTTGATTTGTTTGTACGTCAGTAACGAAGCACATCGACACGAAAATCCGCGACACGATTTATCGCCGATTGTAACGCAATGCGCGTTATCTCTCGCGAATTAAACGTCAAGCGTCTGTTTTCGAATGGCACTGCAAGGTAAACACGAGGGTCGAAAAGGAATACGCCCGGTATTATCGCAATCGGAGTCGACAGTTTCATATTCGATTAAAGAATAATTCAAACTGCAATATTTAATACGATAACGCTATATGGGAATTATAAGAGTTATTTTTAGGTTCGTTGCATTCGATTCTATGCTGGAACTCTTGAAAGATTTTTAGATCGAAAAGCGGTTTTTTAAAGTTACCTTTACAATTTCTTTTTAAAAGAATCAAACAAACATACAGATTTAATTTGCATCTTTTATACTTCAAAAAAATTTTTACGGTGCCATATTATTCGTTAACGTTTTCGATAACAGTTATAGTTCTATAAATTCTTTTTACAATCATGATACTTTAAATTAATATTAGAAGAAAATTGGTTTAAAACACTTTCAAGATATCAAGGCGACCGATCAATAGAAAGTAGTTTTTACAAAAATACGAGAAACATATTTTTTTTAACTTTTAACAATTATCGGAGTTCAAATAACTGAGAACATCAAAACTGTATACCCTTTACTAATAAATCCAATTGCGCGAGCACGTTATTTTTAACTATTATTTTACCTAAAAAAGTTGATTGATTTAAACGTCAAAATAAAACCGACTGCTCGTTAAAATGCATTGCGTTTTACACATTAAAGCACGCGAAAAGCATATCAAATTCGCAGTTTAATTATATTGATGAAGTCGTTTTTTCAGCGGAATCAAGGAATGCGGACTGCGCCGATCACAAAGGCTCGTAAAAATGATCTGGCTCGAATGTTCAGAATTCGCAGCAGAAATCCGGGCAGGGTATTGATCGTAAATGTTTTTTTTCGTCGATGACGCAGAGAACAAGAGCATCGACGAAGTCACGGCAAGTGCATCGGCTAGGATCGGCTACATTTCATTTGAGAATTTAATTTTCGCGTACGCGGCTTTTATGTTAGCCCGCATGGCCGTGTGTGGGATGATTAGTTAATGACCGTGACAATTTTCTCGTTGCCATACTAATTCCAGTTAGTTAAGGTCACGGCTTGGAAGCTTTCGGATCGGCGTGGAGGCCGGGCGCAGTGCAGTTTTTCTCGTTGGCTGGCGGATCGTCGACGCGGACGAACAGTAGCAATGCTGGAAATGCGGTTGAATCAGGTTTTGGAGGTTAACATGGATATGCGAGAAATCAAGTCAGAGAGGAAGAGAAAGATATGAGAAGAAAGAGGCGACTCATTAGTAAATCTAGCTGACAGGTTTTACAAGGAAATATACGATAACGATGTCCATAAAGATTAAACTATGGCAGAAAATCATTCTTACAAAAGTATTTTACGTAGGTATTGTTTTTATCGGTTATCGTTAGTATTAAAGGGGTGAAAATAGATATCAGAGTTCGAGGTGCGAATTATTTCATCGAATACCCTGGAGAATCATGAAGATAATTATAAAAATTATCAATTCCTCTATTTTTCTATTATTTTGAAAATCAAACTTAACTTTTACTTAAACGAATATTTAATTCTAAACGAACAGAGTAATACAACAATGACCATGATCCAGAGATTTTTATCGAGTGGATGGAACGGAGTAACTTTAGTAAAATCTACTGGATTTTAATGAAACCGATTTTTATACATTTATGGAATTTGTAAATTTATAAAACATAAGAAAGTATTAGCATGAACAATGATTAGTGATACTTCGGTTTCATTTTTACTGTGACAAAAAAATTGCTTTATTCCAGTTTCTAATTATAATTCATTTATTATAATCTCAATTAGTTTATTATAATCTAACTAAATCAATTTTTAAATACCTATGCTTATCTGTTCTCTACTTTTCTCCAGGCTGATAGACTTCAATAATTTTCAATTCCATATATAAAAATCGTACAGATTAAAATTCCCAGAATCACGTTTAAAAATTACACTTAACACAACATTTGTTCACGCGACATTTTTTGCATATTTCAGTTCGATTTGATCTCTGCAGTACTGTCGCGTATTCACAAACAGCAATGGATGTATCGAAAAAAAGGACACGTGAAATAACTTGGTAAATATGTCCATAACTCTATTGTATTTTGTTGAGACGTAATCGCGATATTGTTCGCGAATTATTCGCTACCCTTTTGTTCTCCGGAAATCTCTTTGTGAATGTTCGTTTTACAAAAGCATTATTTCCAGTGGCGAACTATTGCTGGCGTGTGGACGTGGCATCATGGAACATGCGATCGGAGATTTTTCTTCTTTTTTGTTACGGGACAAGCATGAATTCCCCAAGGTACGCCGATAACCGTATTATCGTGCTCGAACGTTTGACGTCCACGTGCACGTGTCTATCATCGTTTCGTGTCTGAAGCGAACTTCGCGTTCGACGGCTCGGCCTCGGAAAAAATTCGTTGACTTCAAACCTCGATCGCATCGATACACGAATTTCGAAGTAAAGAAGATCCTCTGTGCCTATATACCTGAATACGTATTTTACTAAATTATTAAGCTTATTTGTACAATACAAATATTTTCCCTATATTTCCTTTCTTTCTTTTTCTATTTATTTTTTTTAATATACAAGTACAATATATAATGGAAACTGCACTTCACTGTTTTCATAGTTCAATAGATAGTAAATCAATAACAGCGAACAACACGGAACATTTCCAAAAGTTTCAAACATTTTCGATGTTCACTTTTTGAATTAAAAAAATTAAAGGTATACTTATAAAACTAAAAAATTGAAGACATTTTTTAAATACATGCCTTTAATGATAGTAGTATTCCGAAGACGCTTGTTTTCGAAGAGTAAGCATTCAACAGAACGTCAAAAAATGAGAATGAAGAAAAACAGAAATCAAAAAATAAAATTCACGTGCTTAAAAACATCGGGGCGAGCTTTCTGCCCCACAAGAGGGAAAACTTTGAAAGATTTTCTAAGCGTCTGGTATGCGAAGTCGCGTGTCTTTTACGACTTCTCAAAGTTTTCCGGGAACCAATACAAAGCCGGCAGGAATGCGAAGGGAGCAGTTCTTAGAGAATTATTGCCGCTAGATGCACACGATGCAGATACACACAACCGATAATCGCAATAACGTTAAGACCAATGATAATGACGCCAATTTCATTTTCCCGGAGTCAGCTTGCGTCAGTATTTCCACCGTTATTTTAAAAGTGTGATTGCCATGCGACTTTTTCCGGCTTCCAACATTTAAATGACATCTGCAGGCAGTTTTTATCCTCTTGATAAATAGACGCTTAATCGAATAGTAATAAGTAACAAATAAAAATAATCTTTATCACTGAATGATTTAATAAACTGTACAGATACAAATTTAATGGTCGAAAATAATATTATTGTGTTTAAACATCAAAATTTTAGTTTACATTAGAAATTGTTTATTATTTATATTAACATAATAATTACTTTTTTACTAATGTTTCGTGGAGAATCAATTTTATATCATTTATTATTCGTAATAGTTCTTTGTTACGATGATCATATTTTCTGGAGAAAAATAGGGGACAAAAATAAAAACTTAACTTTCTTGTATAATATTCCTAAATGAGAAACACAGTAATTCTACAACTTCAAACTGTTTCGATTGTATTTTAATTGGTTCAGTTAGAACTGTTCCAATTAGTACAAACATGAAATAGATTAAAAATAATAAGATAAGAAGCGACGTAATGTGAATAATTTCTATTAAAAAAATATAAAAAATGTAATGAATATAAAACGAAATAGATTAAATATTTGCGTAGAATATGTAATGTCCTTAAATGTGTTAATAAATTTTTTTGAAATTAAAATTTTACATATGTTAATAAGAATTGCAAGAAACACGTAAAATACAATAGATTAAAGTTGTGCATCATGTTTCAAAGTTATCAGCTGTAAGCCTTATATTATCAGAATTCAATTTTCTTCCGTTTAGAAAAACTATGTATAATGCAGGAGATGTGACTAAAAAAAGAGTACCATATTATTAAGGAAGAGGGAAAAACACAATAAAATCTATGGAAAAATCTTGATTTGTTAACCAAGTCTTAATTGTATTAACTTGTTAATCGAGTGATAAATCAATCACAAATATTCAATAACTAAGATTATGTTATAATAAACATATACAACATAATTTATGATCATATAAATATAAATTAAATTTAGGAATTATTAGTTGAACGAAAAATAAAGTGAAGTGTTACTGAACAGTGAATTCAAATACTTTGGACGAGTTAACTGGTTTTCTTTTTAATATCTAACTCGGTTGAATCTTTAACTTTTAATCATTCATAGTTTAACACCTTTCAAAACAAACAACCTTCTACATTTTAAATTTGTGTGAAAAATATTAACATTTGCAATGGTCTCATATATTAGAGTCATCCAGTAATTCCTTCTACAACTTAAATGTCAAATAATTTAACTGAAATATCTAACGTAGGTCATCGATAATTTTTACAGCATAAGAAACACTTTATGCATTTTTCATTTGTATATTTATTTACTCACCTATCTACCTCATTTATTTATACAGATAATGAATTTAATTATCTGCAATTTTAAATCTTCATCGCCAAATTTATCAAGATAAAAGTCACTGTGTACTGTAATCTATAAGGAGTATAAGTTTAAATAATATAGTATTCAATAGTTCCTATATCCTTAGCATTAAATTTATGTAATTGCAGATTATAAGCTGAAATCTCGTTGAGATTTATCAGTAGATAGGTATTTGCTATTCACTAAATTCATCCATTCAAGTACTAACTACCAGGAATAAAATTTATATAGAAATTGTTTTCTTCTATTAAAAGTTATAGTAAATAAAAGGGAAAAGGAACTTTGTCATATTTTAGTTTTACTATGTTGTTTGACTATGTTATACAAATCTAGCGCTTACAAGTATAGAAAATTGATTATTTACATACGAATAAAATATTCATAACTGTTATTCATAAAAAATATTCTTACTTACACATTCATGAATATTTATCTGAATACTTTGTGTCTGTAATGAGTGCACTGATTTTGATTCTAACTATACATTGTTCCCGACGATCACCGCAACTCTTATCGGGTTTTATTAAAAATATTATCTGATGCGTGTGAATCCACTGCTGAATTTCGTCATACGATCCCGCATAGCGAGTAGCTTAACGGAATTGTGGTTCTACCAATAATTAAACACGCGTTAAGAATACAAACGCAAATTAACTTTCAACATGGCAGAATAGGCTCGCTTCAGTTGCGGATTATGATTCAGCAACGTTATTAGCGAATCCGAATGTACGGTGATTTCACGATCGACGTGGGAATATCTGATACTCAAACCCATATTTTTTTAATGAGACCTGAGTTACACTGGTATACATCTATGAGTACAGTAACACTTGTAATTATGCGATAGACCCTAAGTATCAAAGAAATAAATTTTTCTTAAACATTAAATTTTTACTTAGACATAAATTTAAAAATGGTATTATAATATATCATGTATATCATTATAATATATAATGTAATAGTAATTAATTAAACAATTATTTAGTGCTTCTTATTTAAATAACGCTAATAAATCCTTGGCACTTGTTGAATTAATATTGTTAACTCTTTCTCTGATAGTTCATTGCCTGCGTTTTGAATTTATTTGTTATAATTGTTATTATAGAAATATCAGTTTGTTTATTACTAAATTGTTTTTTTAATTAAACAATATATAATTATTACAAATAAAATAACTGCTGAATTTGGTAGATACTTATGTAGGAAAGTAATGTATGGTAACGCAAGAAATTGTGTTAAAGTAAGCAAGTTTCTTGGATTAATTTTAATTAGACAGCGAATATAAACAATCATAGTTATTTTGCATGGAAATATTAGTTGGTATGCGTGGAGCTTACAATTTCATACGAGCAGAACTTTTAACGTATAACACCAAAAGTTGCATAATTGAAATACCTAATGTCAAAGATCAGCATTGAGGTTAACAACTTGGACAATTCTAAACTATTTAAAATATTCAGGATCCTAAGATAATACGAATATTCAAGCGAAGATGATCTTTTAACATCTTAAGCAGTCTTAAGATTCTCTAACGTCTTAAGTAATAAATATTTAAATACGATCTGGAGAAAGATTTACGTTACCATAGAAGATATATAATACACGATGTACAGTAATTATATAGTAAATTATAAATAGTTGGCATTTAGGTGATATATAATGAAAATTTTCAATATTGAAACCAAGTAACGAAACAACATACTATAGCTATATTTATAATATAATTCCAATACGTTAGAATATGAAATATAATAATATATAAAAATTATGAAATGTAAATAAATAAAAAACTTTTTATCTATCAAAAAATCGAGTCATTTGTCACTTATATCTGTTAAGAAACCTTTGAGTACTTATTCATTAGTTATTATTATTAACTAAGTGTTCATTCATATTTATGTCTGCATAGAAGTTGATGTTTTAAAAAATGTACAGCAAACTGGTAATAAAAAATATAATAAGATTGTTTACACTAAAACTAACTGTTCAAAGTAACTGCATAATAACTCCATGTTTAACGTTTACTAAAATTATGATGATGCTTGTAAAGAAAATTAATAAATTTTATTCATTCAAGCACATGTTAAACTAAAAATGGTATAAAATTTCGATGTACCAATTTTTATCATTTTTACGAGACATTAAAAACAAATCTTCTTTAGTATTCGATACTTGTAACGTTAAAGAAAAAACCTTCTATTGATCCCCAGATTGTGGAAATTAATCTATGAAAGCATGGATTCATTTAAACGTTCAGACATGAAAAGATTTCTTTCAACGTCCGAGATAACTAATCCTTTTATACTTACATTGTAGGGCCGTAATTGGCCTCTCGGAACGCAAATTATTCAATGTTTCGCGATTGTGCATTGTGCATGGTTACGTTAACCACACCTGCACACCTTTCACCCGGCACGTTGCTATTTATACACATATATAATTGAATGAAGCCGTCTCTGCACACGCACGATCGAGCTTACAATTACAGATCCATGAATTGTCAGTTATTAACGGTATTCCGACTTGTGTATAAATCGGAGGTCGAAGCGGTAAAAAGAGAGAGGGTGCACGATTGTAAGTTTAACACTAAAACTACCAGACGGGTCAAAATCATCCATTCCAAATTTCTTCTTTTTGCAGTTATTAAAAAGATAACAGATGTTTCACTGAGAAACTGTTAAAGGAATAGATGTAGCAATGGGCTAACTAAATTGGAAATCAGTTAAAGTCTCAATAAATGCACTCTTGGGGTTTCTATAAGCGAATTTGAAAAATTCTATTTAACTGCTAGGTAGTTTTAGTGTTAACGATCGAACTTCACCTACTGCTGTACCAACAATTGCCTGTTTCGATTAGGATAATGAATATTCAACAAAATGTTTGTCGAAATCGAGTAAAATAATTCAAATTCAAACGAAATATTAAATTAATGTAAAATATTTGAGATTTGAAGAAACTCTCTTAAGTAAATCTTTTAATTAATATTCGAGGATGGTGTTATTTACCATCTTGCTAATTATTTTTAACCGTATTTAAAACGAATGAGGATTTCAATTAAGGTAATCAAAAATTTCAACTGCAATAATAAAGATTTTGACAGGACATTGTTTTAATTCAGTTCCTATTATTCTACAGCTAACACGGAATATCATTATCGATGCACAACAAATATTCTACTATTTTAAACTATTTATATAATAAAAAGAAAAGATTTTCATGAGCATCAGTATATAACTAATACCTACAACAAGTGATAATCATAAACACATTTTACATACATTGTATACACAAAACATTAATTTGTCTTATTCTATCATTTATACCGCACTAAACTGTGGATTTCATGCATTAATGGCAAATCTAAGCACGCAAAATACATAAAAAGTACAAAAACGTTCGTACAAATTTAAGAATACACTTATTGTGTCTTCAATTTATAAAAATTCTTAAGAGAAGAACTCAGGTTCTACTTAACCCTTGTTTCTCTAAATTACTTCGGCGAACTTTGATTTTGCATAAAGCTCCGCAGTCATTACTATTCCAGTCAATACTTTCGCCAGACCTGCAAGTCGAGAAATACATTGTCGGAACCGTTAGCGGAAGGACAGAATATTTTTTGTTTCACAGAAATCATTTCCGTCCCTTTCCCGCGAACATGCGTGCGCCGGTGCACTTACCCTAAACGCCTGACCTCATCTACAAATCATTCATCCGTGATGTACTCGTCCACGGACATAAATATTACCGGCGGAGCAATAAATATGGTAATACGTTTAATGTGGGCGTGCATACGTAAGTACACACGAATGGAATCTATGGACTAGCGTACGGATTGGGACCGTGGCTGTGTACGCGCAGGCATTGCCAGCAGCGTTACCATCGTGACACAATTATTAGACTTTTAGCGGATCCGGTGTTATGTAAAAAAGGAACGATTGCGTAAGAAATATTCTTTTTCTTCGCGGCGACAACGCGATGACGGTGAATCGAGAGACGCAATGATCGTCATTATTTTCCTACGTGAAGATAATCGGTAATTGTCGTCCGTGATACTTTCCGAGGAATGTAGATCAACCGCTATACTTAGGTACCATTTCTGTCCTACTATTGTGCCGGGATATTAAAATTCTTAGTTACAGAAGCAACGTTGATAATAAAGTTAGTGATAAGAAGAAAAAAATAAAAATTTCGGTTAGATA